ATGGACAATTTTAAAAGCAGATGATGAGGGTGGAGGTGAGTTGGAAAATTCGCAACAACTACTCATACAACCAATTTGGATCTGCAGCTAAAAGGCAGCGAAATGCTCGGTACCTGACCTCGGATTTAGTGGGATTGGTAGTCCCCTGATCCTAACCGGAAGCTCGCCACTGTACTCCTGCCCGCTGAAGTCTGCGACCTATTGTGTTAGCATTCGCCTATTTATGTGCAATTGTGCCGATGGAGAGACCTAAATTATCAGTCTCCGTCATTGATGATTCCCATCATTTTGAAGGTACCTCTCGGGTAATTATGGCGTCTGTCAAAGTCGTCGCCCAACTAATAGATTATTATGTTCAACACAACAACGCAGCATTTCTTATTCTTGTTTTTTGACATCCGAGTTATGTGATTTTTTACCAGACTCATTCCCGTGTTTTTGTTTGTTTTCAGGCACACAGCCCGTTGGAACAGATCGAGCTGATCCTCAATTTGACGGGCACTCCGAGCATGGAAGACTTAGAACACTGCCATCCGGAGGCCTGCTGTTTTGTTCTCTCCTTCCGTCCCCGACGGCCAAATCTGGCCACTCTCTACTCCCTTTCGCCCGACATGAATGCCAGCGCTGTCGATCTCCTATCTAGTATGCTCCGATTCAATCCGGTGAGTCCTTTATACCCGCGAATTGTGCTTAGTATTTTCTATAAATGCAGCCAGAAAGTGCTTTACTTAGTTTGAAGAGTCGAACGTCCCTGTGTTCAGCTGCTCCACCACTCAAATTGCGAACAGTCGCTTTTCCTTGAGAGTGCATATCCTCTCTGTGTCTATGCTAAAAAATAATTAATTCTTGTGAACTTGTATGCTCAAGTTAGTCAGGCGCTTGCTACTTCTGGGTGGGGATACGGCGAAGAGAGAGAGTTTGGAATTAAAGTAGGACAGCAAGTTAATAAAAGTTCCATACACGCAATAGAGACCTCTTCAGCTTCACGTAAGCACATCGTCAAAAATGCTCTCCCTCCCACTCAAATTATGTCAAAGTTGTGTTGGCATGTGTCCACTTACAGGACTAAGTGTCTCTTATTTCAAGGGAAAAACGGGGAAGGATGCCGAAGCATACACCTTGACGCATCTCAATTCTATACTCATACCACTTGTCGCTGTTATTCTGCCAACCGTCCTTGACATGAGACGAACTGACTGGCACATATAGTGGTCGTTCTTTGTCTGGATCAGAGCGACTTTAACACAGTTCATGCTGGACAGAAATTGCCACATGTCCTCAGTCTAATTCGAGCCGACCACGAACGTGTGTGACCCCTTATTATATATTTAAGGGTTTCAATATTTCACGGTCGATGAGGAGGGGGGGGGCATTGTCCTTTCGTATTATACTGCGACTAGTAATGGGTTCTGTCTTAGAATTAGGGTATATCTTTCACCGTTAATAGTTCTTTGTAGAATCCTGACTTTATTTTTCACCGATCCACTGTCTCCCCATACATCCTCAATAGCGTCATGTGTAACTTTTATTGTGGAACTTTCGTTGGTTCGTCACAAAACGGGACTCCCTCATTCTCAATGTCTCTAGGTGAACCCCAGTTCGTTAGT